CGTCATAATATATTAAGGCATAAAAATATCAAATGGCATAAGTCTTAAAGAAAATCCACAGGAGAGTCACTAACTGGGACTTGAACATGTGACCTTCTGAGTGTAAGGCAGGAGATTTAACCACTGTGCCACCATGACTTAATCCCCGTTGATGTTGCGTAGGACAAACATCAGCAAAGTATGGTAAACGATATAAAACCCATAGAAGACGTCATAGTATAATAAGGCATAAAACATTATACTATAATAAGGCATAAAAATGTCAAAAAACGTCATAGGATATCAAGGCATGAAACGTCATACTACAATAAGGCATAAAACTTCACAGTATAGTAAGGAATAAAAATGTCAAAAAATGTCACAGTATAGTAAGGTAAAAAAATGTCAAAAAACGTCATAGTATAGTAAGGCATAAAAATGCTAAAAAACATCACAATATAGTAAAGCACAAAATGCCAAAAAACATCATAGGATAGTAAGGCATGAAACGTCATCATATACTAAGGCATAAAAACTCCATAAAACGTCATAATATATTAAGGCATAAAAATGTCAAATGGCATAAGTCATAATCAAATTCCACAGGAGAGTCATTAACTGGGACTTGAACATGTGACCTTCTGAGTGTAAGGCAGGAGATTTAACCACTGTGCCACCATGACTTAATCCCCGTTGATGTTGCGTAGGACAAACATCAGCAAAGTATGGTAAACGATATAAAACCCATAGAAGACGTCATAGTATAATAAGGCATAAAAATGTCAAAAAACGTCATAGGATAGCAAGGCATGAAACGTCATACTACAATAAGGCATAAAACTTCACAATATAGTAAGGCATAAAAATGTCAAAAAACGTCACAGTATAGTAAGGCATAAAAATGTCAAAAAACGTCATAGTATATATAATAAGGCATAAAAATGCCAAAAAACATCATAGTATAATAAGGCATAAAAATGTCAAAAAACGCCATAGCATATTAAGGCATGAAACGTCATCATATACTAAGGCATAAAAACTCCATAAAACGTCATAATATAATAAGGCATAAAAACGTGAAATGGCATAAGTGTCATAAGGCATAAACAAGTTCAAAATTCCACAGAAAGGTCCCTAATTGGGGCTTGAACCTGTGACCTTCGGAGTGCTAGTTAGGGGATTTAACCACTGCTGATGTGGAGTAGGACAAAGTTTAGCAAAATATGGTAAACGATCTAAAACCCATAGAAGGCGTCATAGTATAATAAGGCATAAAACTTCATAGTATAGTAAGGCATAATAACGTAAAAAAATGTCACAATATAGTAAAGCATAAAAACGTCAAAAAACGTCATAGTATAATAAGGCATAAAAATGTCAAAAAACGTCATAGTATAGTAAGGCATGAAACGTCATCATATACTAAGGCATAAAAACTCCATAAAACGTCATAATATATTAAGGCATAAAAATATCAAATGGCATAAGTCTTAAAGAAAATCCACAGGAGAGTCACTAACTGGGACTTGAACATGTGACCTTCTGAGTGTAAGGCAGGAGATTTAACCACTGTGCCACCATGACTTAATCCCCGTTGATGTTGCGTAGGACAAACATCAGCAAAGTATGGTAAACGATATAAAACCCATAGAAGACGTCATAGTATAATAAGGCATAAAACATTATACTATAATAAGGCATAAAAATGTCAAAAAACGTCATAGGATATCAAGGCATGAAACGTCATACTACAATAAGGCATAAAACTTCACAGTATAGTAAGGAATAAAAATGTCAAAAAATGTCACAGTATAGTAAGGTATAAAAATGTCAAAAAACGTCATAGTATAGTAAGGCATAAAAATGCTAAAAAACATCACAATATAGTAAAGCACAAAATGCCAAAAAACATCATAGGATAGTAAGGCATGAAACGTCATCATATACTAAGGCATAAAAACTCCATAAAACGTCATAATATATTAAGGCATAAAAATGTCAAATGGCATAAGTCATAATCAAATTCCACAGGAGAGTCATTAACTGGGACTTGAACATGTGACCTTCTGAGTGTAAGGCAGGAGATTTAACCACTGTGCCACCATGACTTAATCCCCGTTGATGTTGCGTAGGACAAACATCAGCAAAGTATGGTAAACGATATAAAACCCATAGAAGACGTCATAGTATAATAAGGCATAAAAATGTCAAAAAACGTCATAGGATAGCAAGGCATGAAACGTCATACTACAATAAGGCATAAAACTTCACAATATAGTAAGGCATAAAAATGTCAAAAAACGTCACAGTATAGTAAGGCATAAAAATGTCAAAAAACGTCATAGTATATATAATAAGGCATAAAAATGCCAAAAAACATCATAGTATAATAAGGCATAAAAATGTCAAAAAACGCCATAGCATATTAAGGCATGAAACGTCATCATATACTAAGGCATAAAAACTCCATAAAACGTCATAATATAATAAGGCATAAAAACGTGAAATGGCATAAGTGTCATAAGGCATAAACAAGTTCAAAATTCCACAGAAAGGTCCCTAATTGGGGCTTGAACCTGTGACCTTCGGAGTGCTAGTTAGGGGATTTAACCACTGCTGATGTGGAGTAGGACAAAGTTTAGCAAAATATGGTAAACGATCTAAAACCCATAGAAGGCGTCATAGTATAATAAGGCATAAAACTTCATAGTATAGTAAGGCATAATAACGTAAAAAAATGTCACAATATAGTAAAGCATAAAAACGTCAAAAAACGTCATAGTATAATAAGGCATAAAAATGTCAAAAAACGTCATAGTATAGTAAGGCATGAAACGTCATCATATACTAAGGCATAAAAACTCCATAAAACGTCATAATATATTAAGGCATAAAAATATCAAATGGCATAAGTCTTAAAGAAAATCCACAGGAGAGTCACTAACTGGGACTTGAACATGTGACCTTCTGAGTGTAAGGCAGGAGATTTAACCACTGTGCCACCATGACTTAATCCCCGTTGATGTTGCGTAGGACAAACATCAGCAAAGTATGGTAAACGATATAAAACCCATAGAAGACGTCATAGTATAATAAGGCATAAAACATTATACTATAATAAGGCATAAAAATGTCAAAAAACGTCATAGGATATCAAGGCATGAAACGTCATACTACAATAAGGCATAAAACTTCACAGTATAGTAAGGAATAAAAATGTCAAAAAATGTCACAGTATAGTAAGGTATAAAAATGTCAAAAAACGTCATAGTATAGTAAGGCATAAAAATGCTAAAAAACATCACAATATAGTAAAGCACAAAATGCCAAAAAACATCATAGGATAGTAAGGCATGAAACGTCATCATATACTAAGGCATAAAAACTCCATAAAACGTCATAATATATTAAGGCATAAAAATGTCAAATGGCATAAGTCATAATCAAATTCCACAGGAGAGTCATTAACTGGGACTTGAACATGTGACCTTCTGAGTGTAAGGCAGGAGATTTAACCACTGTGCCACCATGACTTAACCCCCGTTGATGTTGCGTAGGACAAACATCAGCAAAGTATGGTAAACGATATAAAACCCATAGAAGACGTCATAGTATAATAAGGCATAAAACATTATACTATAATAAGGCATAAAAATGTCAAAAAACGTCATAGGATAGCAAGGCATGAAACGTCATACTACAATAAGGCATAAAACTTCACAATATAGTAAGGCATAAAAATGTCAAAAAACGTCACAGTATAGTAAGGCATAAAAATGTCAAAAAACGTCATAGTATATATAATAAGGCATAAAAATGCCAAAAAACATCATAGTATAATAAGGCATAAAAATGTCAAAAAACGCCATAGCATATTAAGGCATGAAACGTCATCATATACTAAGGCATAAAAACTCCATAAAACGTCATAATATAATAAGGCATAAAAACGTGAAATGGCATAAGTGTCATAAGGCATAAACAAGTTCAAAATTCCACAGAAAGGTCCCTAATTGGGGCTTGAACCTGTGACCTTCGGAGTGCTAGTTAGGGGATTTAACCACTGCTGATGTGGAGTAGGACAAAGTTTAGCAAAATATGGTAAACGATATAAAACCCATAGAAGATGTCATAGGCATAAAATGTATAATATAGTAGGGCATAAAATGTGAAAAAATGTAATAGTACAGTAAGACATAAAATTTTAAAAAATGTCATGGTCTAGTAAGGCATAGAAATAACAAAAAACTTCTTCATATAGTAAGGCATAAAACTGTAAAAAACTTCATAGTCTAGTAAGTCATAAAAATATAAAAAAACGTCATAGTATAGTGTAACATAAAAATGTCAAAGTAAGTCATAAAATTATACGGATTAAAAATGTCCCAGCATAATAAGGCATAAAAAGAAATAGTATATTGATGCATAAAAATGTCATAGTATAATAGTAAAGCATAATAATTCATAGTATTCATGGTTACATTTTAATCGGATTTGTCAACAGAAATTAAACACTACTTTGATATATCCACCACATTATGCTGCTAGAAACCTGACTGCAAGCCCACAGAAGACAGAATTAACACTATCCTAAATGGTTAAATAACATCAGTTAACATTTTTCTGGTGACATTAGGCCTCACTGTGATATTCTCCCATGATGTCAGCTTTCAGATAGCCCCTTCAGGTTGGTGGATGGGTAAAAAAGCAACTGTTACACCACATTAATTTTTATAAGGTGAGAATATGTCAGTGTTGTGTTTAGATTGCTCTGCTGGATCCAAATGGCCCAAAAACCATTTGCGCCATTACATCCACATAAATTGTCTTAACATAATAATCAAGTTCTTCAGTTAGGGTTAGGGTTAGGGTTAGGGTTGGTCATTTGTGACTTTTTACTCTGTATTAATGTTTGCCTTATGTTTTGAGGTATTATAGTTTTGGCAAATGTCTGCTCTGTCTTCTCTGTATTCTCGCTCCATGTTAATGGAACGGGACCATTGTGGCTCCCTTTCTGGCAGGCTACAGAGAGGGGTTTCTATGGAAACGAGGCAGAGACAATGGACAGTACCTTAGCCGAAAATTTATTCTGTCCGAACGGGAGGGTGTTCTGAAGTACTTCAATAAGCATGACGTGAGTGCTTTCTTTCTCTTTCTGCTTCTCATCTGTATTTCAGCTACTGTTAAACTGCCTTTGTTAAATATTGCTCTGTCTAGAAATGTTTAGATTTCCTTTTTTTTTCTTGAGACCAACTCCCGTTTCAAATTGTTATTCATTACTCTCTGCTTAAATACAAGCTTTACATATTTTTCCAAATGCGGCTTTCTCCCATTTAAACACCATAAAGGGAAGGAGGACATTAGGAGATAAGACTTTATCATTCACTATTTTGCTTCTCTTTCTGCAGGCCAGAGAGCCCAAAGCGATAATGAAGATCAATAGTGTGAATGCCACTTTCCAGCCAACTAAAATTGGCACTGCCCATGGCCTGCAGATAACCTATCTGAAGGACAACAGCACTAGGAATATCTTTGTTTACCATGAGGATGGAAAGGTGAGGTACAGTGCCTCTCTTGTCTGGTGGTTTAAGTGGGAGAAGTGAGTCTGAGGAGGCAGCAGAAGGCATGTGTTTCCATCTGGTGGAAATGGTTTGTTGTTACAAGTCAGTTTGTAACTGATGTCTATTTGTACAGAGGCTTAACAAAACCCATGACAATCATCCCATGGCTTATGATATAATGGTAAATGACATGTAGAAAATCCACTTTGACTCATAATGAGTGTTGTGTGTAGTGCTGGGACTGATGATGCGTATGAGTCAGTCATTGTACTTCCTGATGTCCTGTCCTGAAGGAAATGGTGGACTGGTTCAATGCCATCAGAGCGGCCAGGTTTCACTACCTGCAGGTGGCTTTTCCTGGGGCTTCCAACTCTGATGTGAGTACTTACACAAATACATGCATACACATACACGCTGTAGCTACCACTGAGGACACCAACGTCACATTCTGCAAAAAATATATCAAGTGGTTGTTTAATTTGCTCTGTCAATTGTTTGAACAGTAAAAAAATAATCTAATTTAGCATAATTTAGCATTCTGCATACATGTGTACTTACATACAGAGTTTAATTCAGAGTTTATCAGTGAGGTATTTGTTCTTTGTTTGCTTAGTTGTTGCCAAAGCTAACCAGGAACTACATAAAGGAGGGTTACATGGAGAAGACTGGTCCAAAGGTGAGGGATTTTTCTGTTTATATATATACATATATATATATAATTTTATTTTAGTTTTACTTGAGTAGACTGAATACCACCACAACATGGTCCATTAAGGTAGAGAAATATGCAGAGCTCATAACGATGTCTAACGGCTTAAGCATGAAAGCCAAGGAATTTATACTTGTAAGTCGCTGAACTGAGCCTCTGTTTCTGTCCCACAGCACACAGAGGGCTTCAAGAAGAGGTGGTTTACGATGGATGACAGGAGGCTCATGTACTTCAAAGATCCACTGGTATTAAAACTGCACGTCATGACGACACTGCTGTAGTTACACACTGTGACCAGCAGATGCCGCTGTGCCTTTTTGTCTGTATTAATCTCTGTTTATTTTTGGAGGCAGTTCACCCAAAAACTCAACAAAAATATGCAATTTATGCAACTTTAGAAATATTAAATATGACTACACAGTGCAGTAAAGCGGTTTGCGGTGCACAACATGCCAAAACTATTTCACTCAATAACACAGCGTGGTTTATATCAAGAGGATTAACTGTTTCTCCTTCTGCTTTTAGGATGCCTATGCACGAGGTGAGGTGTTCATTGGTGGTAAGGAAAACAGCTACACCGTGCTTGCTGGCCTCCCTCCCAACATTCAGGGCTACCACTGGCAGTTTGGAATTACCATAGTGACACCAGACAGGAAGTTTCTTTTTGCATGTGAGACAGAAGAGGATCAGAAAAATTGGATGGCTGCATTTCAGACTGTTGTCAACAGACCAATGCTGCCTCAGGAGTATGCAGGTAAATTGAGCACCCAACTAAATCTAGTCATTATTTAGCCTTTTCTTCTTAATTGTTAAGTCTGATATCTATATTTTTTCATTCTCTCTGCAGTGGAGGCCTATTTTAAGCATAAACCATGACCGGCTTAGTGTTTGAAGAACTATTAGTACAGGATGAGGGGAATGAAGTGGAGGTAGAAGAAGAAAAGGATGCGAGATATGTACTTTACATTACATAACTGAAGCTCTTGTAAAATGAAGGGTAACAGAGAAAAGGACCTAAAGGTGAGACAGCTTTGACTGCAATTAACATTCTCACAATTACTTATTTTACTCTACCTGCTGTCCTGCTCAACTTCACTTACATTATGTCCCAGACCCATTTTTCAGAATTACTTCTGTGCTCATGAATGTTAGCCTTAATGCACTCATCTGTCATGTGATGTGACTTACATACTTGAAGAGTTATGTATGTGTGCCTTTTTGTGTAGAAATCAGAACTGTTGCTGCTCTCACATGAAGACATTTAAATGTGGTTTTCTCTGTTCTCAAAGTATTTTCCTTCAATTTCAAGTGTACAAACTGTGGTCAGTTTTAGGTAAACTGAAAACATAATCTGATGCAGGACTGTCATATGTCAGTAAGACATAATACACAGTCTACAGATTTATTTTCATTGACTAAAAAAATATTTATTTCTTGATTTATTTATTTATTTTTAAACTGTCTCTAATTTGCTATCTGCAGCTTTCAATATTACGCTGCCAAGCACTGCAGGTACAATAAGCAACTTTTGCTTTTTGTACATACTCAAACAGCTGAATGTTAACTGCTTTGTGTGCGTTATTATCAGCATGCATTCCTGTCTCATTTTTGGAAAACTATACTAAAAACTATATAAATTGGATCAAAATTAGCATTTGTTTCATGTCATATGATTACTTATCCACTAGAGGGAGACAAAGGAAAGGTTTCAAACTTGTTATGACACCCCCGCCCCCATTTGTCAACCTCATTTACCAGTGACTTAAGATGTACATATTAAATAATTTGTGCAAGTGCATCAGAGAAGGGCATGGAGATGTTCTTGAGCAGTATTGAGTAGCCATTAATTCATTCAAATGTAAAGAGCTGGGTTCAAGCAAACAATGTGAGCATGCGTCCGTCCCACTAAAGTGTCACCTGAGATACAAGACATTAAATCTCCACTTGACACATTGTTTTGTAACTCATGCTCTGGGAGGAGAATTTGTGTAAGTGAATCTGAAATGAGCCAATATGCCATGTTTCCTTCTGTTTTTTATTGTGGTTAACTTTCACTTACAAGAAAGAAGTTGCACATTGAAAAGTAGTAAAACCAAAAACTAATACATTACTGAGTACATCAAGATTGGAGACTGTACAGTAAATTTTATACAGATAGATATTCAGTTTTCATGGTTTTTATGTGTAGGATGGAATCTACCAAAGCAACTGTCATATAAAAAGACGCCTATGCTTCTTTTTTGAAGAATAGGTTAAATACTGTTAACAGACTATAAGAAACATACTGGTCAAATGTTTTTAAAAGACCATGGCACTATATACCCCATTTATATATTCATGAATGGAAAACAAAAGCAGGAATCAAAGCAGTCTAGTCAAGTTTGCACTGGCTTCAAATAAAACAGTAAAATAAAAACAGAAATATACATACATTTTTTTCGTATACAATACTTTAGGTAACATTGTGAACATACTGTAGGTCTTAATTCCTGAAACCCCACCCACACTCATTTACCATCTAAAGTGCTATTCTCCTCTATTGAAACTTTTTTACATGCAGAAAAGAAATTGTTAAGTATTTACACTATCAAAACCCCAATGTATATAGATTATACAGTATGATTGACCATCTGTTTGTAAATCATTTCAAAACAAATGAATATATGTTATCAAGAAGAGAGGTTGCATTAATACTCTCCAAAACTCAAAACTGATCCTCTATAATAGAAAAAAGCCGAATAATGTGTCTGAAAACAAGGTTCTGTAACCCATGCACTGTCATGTTTCTGTAGATTTGTTTAAACTACTATTTTTGCATTTAGCATGAATTCAAATCTAAAACAATGTTTTAATGTTGTTAATGATGCTGTTCTGTACTCAATATTTTTGTATACAAAAGAGCAACATTCATTTACTTTTACATTATGTTGAACTAATACGCATTACCAAATATCCACAGCTGAATCATGGAAATGCTTAGATTGAGTTTATGCTGGTGAGCTAAATTGGCTCCAGGGAGCCTGAATTACTGATGTGAACACTGAACCATGGAGAGAAGACACATCACTATACATCTAGTATATGAACATTCATCCGTACGTTGAACAAGGAGAGAACATTCAAACAAATTTCATTGACATTTTAAGTGGATGCAAGAAATAAATGGCTTTAAAAGATGTGTGCCTTGTCTCTGCAAAAAAGATTAAATCCCCTCACAATAAAATCACCACACAATGTAATACAAAGGTATTTGCTTGGTGTCACATTCTACGCCCGGGGTCCAAAAGATAATCGTGCAGATAAATGGAAGAAAATGTGCATTAATAGGTTAATAACTGAGGTGTGCAGCACCTACGTTTGTGTCTTACAAACCATAACCTAGGGCTACAATCACAGCTGCAGAGGGAGGCGGGTGAGGAAAAGCAGGACACACAAGATAGAGGAGGGCAGAGAGATGGGTGCATGGCAACAGACTGAGGTTGTGAGGACTGAGACAAAGCGGTGGAGAAAAAGAAAGACAAAAGGGTTTATACCTCGCTGGAGCTGACTCCTCATCTCTGATCAGACCAGATATGAACACACGCTGTATGATAATGAATGAGACGTGCGCGTGCGCATGCGCACACACACACACACACACACAGACACACACAGATCCAGAGAGTGACTGGAGCAGGCTTTAAGACCGGCAGCATCCAGTGCCCTTCATCTCCTTGTTTACATACTCCTGCAGCTTAAACTTCTCACTGGGATCCTTCATGGACCTGTGCTTCAGCTCCCTGACACAAAGGAAGAGAATAAGATGAGGTCACATATAATGGAGTCACTCACCATAAACAAAACCAATGATCAGTTTATGGCTTAAGTTGCTCCAAAAACAAAGACTGATTATTGGTTATCAGAAATGTATATAATTCAAGTCTAGTTCCCCTCCACTCATTATTGTTACTTCACCTGGATGTTTGACCTTCACTGACGAATGAAGTTAGTGCAGAGTTTGACACTAGAAGGCTGTTTTTCACATTCATCTGCTGGTGGAGGAACGTTTCTGTGTGCTCACCTTGAATATCAGTTTACGATGTGTATGCATGAGTAGCACTTTTTTGACATCGCAACTAGTTTGGAGGCCATCCTTGAAGTGTGATGTGGAATCTGAAGGCCTCCAGTGCACATATACTCAAAAATCACCCTGAAGTGGGAGACATCTTGTGCCAGGGAAGTGAACAACAAAGATATCTTTTTTCTTTTGTAAATTTAAGATTGAAATGCAACTGATATTTTTGTTTTTCCAATGTCAAAAATGAACTTTGACGTTTAAAGATTTTTAAATTAAGTTAATTTAAAATGACAAAACTAATCTTAATTACACCATCCCGCAACACTTGCAGAAAGAACGATACTTACTTGGCCACAGCAGTGAAAGCCAGCTCAACATTGAGACCTGACCTGGCGCTGGTCTCCATGAATGGAACTCCAAACTCCTGCAGTGTGAAATCAATGACAGTTTTTGTTGGAGATCTTTACCATTTCACCCAAAGCACACACAAACATATGAGAATGTAACACTTCATAAGACGGTTTACAGCTAAATCAAAGATAAAATCAGGTATGATTATCGGGTAAAAATTCTACAAAGGCTTACTGCAGAATTTCACAGCGCAGTAGTTGTGCTCAGAACTTGTTTATGTTGGATAACTTCAGCTCTGAAGTGATAAATTTGTCTCGCAGCGTTTTCTCCGCAGAGGAATTAATCTCAGCCCTCAGTGATAGTAACTGATGTGCTTTTTTTTCCCCTCACAGCCTGAGCCTCAAGTTACTTAGTGGCACTTTATTGCTCCCACTTCAGGAGAGAGTCGCTTGGATGTTTGCTTTATGTGCCATGCTGTGAAGCAACAGTCAGGGAAATTGATAAGAAATAAATGTTTTCTCCCGTTTAGTGTTTGTATTTGTAGCTGTGGAGTTTATCACCAAACCAAGGTTTTGAAACTGATTCTAACTGACATGATGCTTTGCAGCAGCTAGTAAAACTTTTAATAGATGATGACCCATAAGGCAAGAACTTATAAAATAAATATTCATGATCAAATGTTCACTATCTGCACAATACATCTGATGTATGTGACATTTCTTTGTCTTGTCTATCTTTTTGGTTTGCAGGTATTATATTTTCCCCAGAGCTGGAAAATCTGAGATTAAGAGCAAGAGTGAAAATGAAAATTGATCCCTAGATAATCCAAACCATTAAAATATTTATAATCTTCTCATCTGCCTTAGAAATCCAATCAGTTACTAGTCCCATACAGACGTCTTGATTTCACTACAATTAAAAGATATGCTGAAAAATATCTGGGTGCAGATTCTCATCGTAACAGCGGTGGTATCAAGGCAGGGAAAACTGTATTTGCTCCTTTCAAATCTTCACCTTAGCAAGCCTCTCTCCGTCCTCTCTCTTCACCACTCTGTCATGAGTGGCATCAGCCTGGTGAGACAGGAAGAAGGGGGTCACAAACAACAGTGCTAAAACCACAATATACATAAATCAACTGTGGAGATCTGGTTGCTATTTGTCCACGGTTTGCATACAAGCCTCTCTTGGTGTTCAGGTCTGATGGCAGCTAATGAGTAAAGATTGACTCTCATGTTGCTAATCAAGGGCTTGTATGGAGTGTGGGGGACTGAATCTAGACAGAGCTCTGAGCCAGAGACATCTGTTCTCTGTGCAGAGGGAGGGATGTGAATGGCAGTTACAGAAAAAAAAAGTGACGTTTGCAAATTTGATTGACGATTAAAGTCAGATGTTATATATATATATATATATATATATATATATATATATGTATTTTCAATATTTTCGACTGGTAATATCCCACTTTTTTTGTTATGGGCAACAGATCCAGTGAAAACCAAAAGACTGTTAGTCTATTTCTGAGTACTTTACAACCCAACCTTATCTGTGGCTCTCCCAGGCCCATTCGTTCTTACTGAAAATGTAAATCTTTCACAATGTCTGTGTGTGTATGTGTATCATATATCATATATGTGTAGATCAGTTTTAGTGTAAATTTAGAGTTAATTTTGCATTTGTCAGGGACAATTTTTAGCCATGGATTTAGTGTGGAAGTGAATATTTACTCTAGCAAGATAAAATAATGAAGCAACATGTCACTTAGTGCAACTGTGTGAGTCAAGTTTTAGCTACATAGGCAATACATCAATCAGTCAAATGATCAATTCATTGTTAGTTTCATGGTATTTGCTAACAATGAGAAAAACATAGTATAGTGCAAGACTATCCTCTGAATTCATCACTGTTTAATTTGTTACTACTGCAAATTTGGAAATGTCATGGAATGTAAAACAGGAAATATCAATCAATAAATGAACAGGACTTTGCTAATGAAAGTTTTTTGATACTCCACAGAAGTGACAAATTGCAGTTGGTACAAAAAGTTTGATATCCAGCCCTAGTGTGTATGTATCTAAAGTATTGATTCTTTCTATTGTGTCTTTACCTACAGTCACAAATATTTCCCTTAATGCCTTGCCTTGTTTCCAAGCAGCATGAGCACCACATCCTGTTGGGCGTATTCGTGGATCTCAGTCAGCCATGCCTGGTAACGACACAGGACAGAGATAAAAGAGAGGGAAGACATATAGCTGTTAGACAAGCATAAAGACATGAGCATGCAAAACCTATAAATGAATAAATAAATAACAACCTGAAGACAAGAAACAAGAAAGTAGAAGTGTGTAGTACACACAAAAAGGGCTTCAGGAAAAGAAACCCTTGTCTGGTCCTTGACAAGGACAAGTCTGAGCATTAAATCTAACGACATGAATAAAGAGGAGGAGGAAAGTGAGAGCAAACAGCATTTAGAAGATGAATATGGCAAAAGGATGTAAAAAATGTCAGACATAAGACAGAGAAAAAAACTGCGGCAAGGACAAAGAGATAAAAGAACCAAAAGCAAGACAGAGTATGTGAGAAAGAGAAATACTGTGAGAAAGAATGTTAAATTAATGAGAACTGATCACCATCAGTTTAATCAACACTGTTGGCTCCATCCTGTTTTAACTACAGTGTGTACACAGGGGAAAGATAAAGCGTTCAGAGGGAACAAACAGCACTTCTGACTGTATGAGCTCCAACAGCACCTGAACTAACCGTTCGCTGTTAATGAACAATTAATCAGCACAGACAGACACCTGCAAACTCTCCTGCTGAAATAATATGCCTCATCTCAGCACAAAGCTTAATTGTGCCCACAGTGAATTACCCCACATTGGATTTCTGACTCGCTGGTCATCAATCCGCCTTTTCCTTAGTAGTCCAGCTCAACAGATGTTTCCCCTCTGACAGCTCCCTTTTAATTAATACTGCTGATGACTCTGCCTTTGTAAAAGGATTTCACCGGGGTCACCTCCAGCCAAAGGTCATGATAAATAACAGATGAGATAGGAAATGAGTTGAAACTGCTGCCTGACGATAGTGAAAAAATGTGGTTAAGGAAGACATGTCAGCTGGAGTTGTGTAAACAGCAGTTATGTGCTGACATGAAAATTTCTTGGTATGCTAACCCTGGTATATAAATATATTACGTATACATTATTATGATAAATACTGAAATAAGATGGTCATTTTAAGCGTCATGTCTCTGGTGAAGGCAATGTCAGCCGGGCTGTCCACCACTTTGGTCCAGACTGAAATATCTCAACAACTATTGGATGGACAGCCATAACATTTTTCTACTGGCATTCATGGTGCCCATGAAGCTCCGATACAAGGTTAACATTTGTGGTTCTGAGCGAAACAGTGAAATGTCTTGACAACTATTTCATGGATTGCCATGAAATGTGGTACAGACATTCAAGTTCCCCTCAGGATGAATTTGAGTCACTTGGTGATTCCCTGACTTTTCACCTAGTGCCATGCAGAAGTTCAAATTCAAATTTGTCCAATGCTTTGATTTATGACCAAATAACTCAATATAAATGAGCATGTTAGCATAGTTCCTTTGAGCATGTTAGCATGCTGATGTTAGCATTTAGTTTAAAGCACTGTTGTGCCTTAATACAGCCAACATCTGCCACTAGCAAAGCTGTAGAGTCTTAGTCTTGTTTAATCAATTAGTGGATCAAAAAATGGCAAAAATCCCATAAATTCACTGATTCCAACCTCTCAAATTTGCTTGTTTTCCTGGTCTCTTTCCTGATAGTACACTGAATACCTTTGGGCTTTGGACTGTTGGTTGGAGAAAACAAGCAATTTAAATGTGGTAACTTGGGCTCTGGGGAACTTGTCAGTTGGCATCTTCCAATTTCCTCTATGAACACATTTGAAAATGGAAGAAAAATATATTTAAAAAAAATGCAGAATGCTTTCCAGAGCAGTAACTTTCACTTTATTTCCATTGCCCTCTTTTCTGTGCTTGCTGACACAATCATAAAGGTGTACAAGAGCTCCATGTCAACACTTCTCATGAAGCAGTCTAGAACTCATCCACATCTTACACTAATTCACTATCTTTAAAACTTTCTCTCTGCTACGTGGTTGGGATGCTAATTTCAGTGGAAGAAAAGATGTGATAGAAATAGAAACAAAACATGAGATAACATTGACTTTGCTTTCCACTGCTGGAGACATCTCTTGACGAGTAAAGGAATGAAGTTTGATGTTGGTAAGTAAACAACTGTTAATTCTGACATCGGCTTTGTAGCAACTCACAAATAGCTCCTTAAATTGAGGTAATTGAGATAATTTAAACTGAATGTTTTATTAATACAGGTTTTAATTTAATGTGCACAATAGTGCTGTGATTGAATTCACTATCATTTTGTATCTTTGTTAAATTATGACTGGTATTGTGTGTGAGAAGGGTAGACTGAGTAATGATAGTGGCAGTTTTATACAGAACCTATTTACTATTCTGTCACTGTTTGTTCACCTGTATACCAATCCTCTAGTTTTATGGTGTTTCTCTTTAAGTCAATGCTGATCATGTTATGTGCTTTGGAGTTAATGAGGTCATTGAGGATCAGGTGATCTGAGAAGTCGGACGGTTGCTCTGAGGTTCTTTAATCAGGCAATAAGCTCCAACAGTGGGGAGTGAGGGACAACTTTAGAGGAACGTTTGGATAAAGGTCTGGCTGAGCCCTGGGCTATTCTGAGAAAGCTGGGAAAAAAAAGATTGGGTTGCATAGACGAAATGTTACAGAGGAACATTATGCATCTGGCTAATTACTTGCTTCATACATAATTCAATTTTTTGTAAGTGTTTCCATCATTCACATGTTGCTTAGCTAGGCTGACTGCCATTGTTGCTTCTCATTAAATTCTGGGCATCTTTTAAAAAAACAGTCTGTTTATGAGGAAACGAATCAAACAAACTTACTGACATATTGGCATATATGGCCTTTGTAATGGAAGGTTATTGTTCAACTATCTCCAACCTTTCATCCTCCCAACAACGAGTCCAAGGAAACCTCCACACAATAAAATATCCACCTTAACTGACAGCTTGCCTTTGAGTGATTGTCTCCATATGCTGCGATTACCGCTGATGAACCATAGCTTGTAATTAGATCATTCAGCTGTTTATACCGCACCCCCTTCCCCATGGGTCATTTCACAGATGACACAACTTGTCACCTCTATCCTAGAGAATTGCAGTCTCCCGTTATCTTTTCATCACAGGAGAGGGATGATATGTGCAGTGACTCAACAGACAGCAAAATGGACCAAGGCATGCAGGAACTTTGATTATCATTTGAATGAGAGAGTGAATATGTTCAAGTGAGTGCATTTATACTTGCTGACTGAGGAGTTTGGTCATTTTTTTCAATAACACTTGATAGAGCCACAGCCACAAAGTCTACCCGACTTTGCCATGGGAGACCGTTGTTTGCTACTTGCTTCAGTTTTTTTTTTTTTAAACCATTACCACAATGACTCCCTAACCTTGTGCTTAAGCCCGCTTGTTCACAAAATGCAACATGTAAATAAGATCATTGTGGAGATGAAAGCAGGCTGGCCGGGCAAAAACGTTGGGCTATTTCTGTCTACATGTTCTTGCGTGAAGTTGCTGCAGCCAAGAGCTGGACATCTCTCATACAGGTCATTTCCATCAACGCTGTGTAGAATTACTTATTATACTTTCTTATATAACAAAGCCTTGTCCTGCAATAAAAACTACCATTGTGAATATTTTGTCCACCTACATATACATAATAAGAAATGTACAGAAAATTAGGAACACTGCTGTTTCTTTCAACAGTTTTGAGAGTTTTTGTATGTCAACATGGTATTGTGTCAACCCTCACCCAAGAGGCATTGTCAAGTATTTAGAATGATTTTTTTCAAAATAAATAAATAAAACAAATCTATTTATTAATCTGACAATTTAGGACAACAGGGCTTTAAGCAGATAAATACCAGGCTCTGAGCAAATCTAATATCCTCTGTTGGCATTGCTGTAGGAACTGGGCTGGGTTCATCTTTTATTCAAGACTAAAACCAAAGTCTCTGGTCAAATGCTCAGGGAGCCAAATGTCAATGACAATGTGGCACATGGCGGAGGAGGTAATAAATTTCTCTGCTCATTGCCCTGGCATTAAATTCCCCAAATAGTGTGGCAAATCAGATTCAGCTTCAAGTTTGTTTTGTTTGTAAGGACCAAAAAACCTTTAGTCAAGCAAACCCAGTGGAATTCAGCCACTCTATGCATATTTTAACGAATAGCACCTCTGATTCTTGTTCTCTAGAGCACTGATGAATTAAAATGTCAGTTTAAAGGTTTAAAACAATTCCCAGTCAAGCTTCCAGTAAATATTAACACAGTGAAAAATACCCAGTTGCTGTTTGCTCTCAAATATTGAATTTAATAAAGGTAAAATGCCAAATGCAGTGCTGAAATTCCGGCTGCCTGTTCCACTGTAGAGACGTTAACAGTGGCAGAGAGACTGATGTGACAGAGGGAGAGACAGAGGGAGAGATGTGACAGAGAGACAGAGAGGGTGCCAAAAGGCAGCAAGATGGAGAGACAGACAGTGACAGAGAAAGACAAGACAAAGACCGAAGGATCTGTATCAGAGACGAAGGAAGATAAAAGCCCGCCAGACAGCTGCTGGCGGCTGCATCGTGACATTGGCGAGACAAGTTGTCACTGGCAGAGGTATGTGAGGGTACTTCTGATGTTGCCTTGTTTTCCTTTTGTTGTCACAGAGAAGGGAAAGCAGGGCCGTGCACTACTACCATGACATTACACAAGCCAGGTCAGCCGTTGGCGTGGGAATTATTTTTGTTGAAAGAAAAACTGTCGTTTTGTTTAGGGCTTGTAGAAACCGGTAACGTATGAGTGGTAATTAAGCGCAAAAGTGATTCATCGGTAAATTTTTTGTTCGCATTTCATCTTCGTGCTACAGAAAGGACAAACACACCCACAAAGTGAGGCACCCACAGTTGTTGGCAGCAGGGCCAGGCATTGTAACCAACACAACTAGCGCTGCTGGGAGGTGGGAAGGGGCTAGGCCAGTTATTACATTATCAGTTTCTACAGGGTTGGGTATCAATTTTCAATACTTGCATTTATATACTGGTACAAATCAAAATCTG